AATGTAATAACTGACAACAATGATTATATTCTAGAGTACCTGTGCTTCCTTTGAGATTTGGTGGCCAAGTAGGGCAGGCCTATACCATACCACTATTTAAGGCTGACAGTAAAGGTTGCCTCTATTAACCTGACTCACAAGCCACCCCGCCTTCTGTATTAGCAAATGCTACACCCAAAGCATAAGCAGGAAGAGAACTGATTCCTAGTAGGGTGTCTTTCTAGGAATCTGCTTGTTGTCTGCCTCTCTTTCTGTACTGTGGGATGTAAAGGGACAGATGTCAGGCACAAGTTGTAGGATTACTGTGGGTAAACTTCTTGTTTTTTTGTGGCTGAGAATACCCAGGAAAGTTCTGAACACACACTGAGGGAGCCTAGCAGGAAAGCTCAGCCACATGGGACCTTCCGGGGGCAGGCTGGGCTGCTGCCAGGGTGCATCCTTAGCACGGATGAGGGCTAGTTTGAGCTAAGGGGCAGGACAAAGTAGCATTAAGTGGTAGATAAACCCATATATTCCATTTTGGTGTGCCTGCACCCCACTGGTGATCTGATTCATCTGAAAGGCAGTGTCTGTTAAGGCCATGCCTGTGCCTTGCATCCAAGTGTGTGAAGGAGCATGGCACCTACAACTATCCTTCTGTTCCTTCAAAACCGAATCCAGGAATTTATGGGGAAAGGATGGCAGACTGTGAAGTACATATGGACAAACATCTAGAAAAAAACCCAAACATAATTACAGCAGGGTGAGTGAACACTCCTTCAAATGATTCTGCTTATGGTAACTCACATGCAGTAACTTAGGTCCTGAAGCATTTGCTCTGGATATACCATAGCAAGGTATTCTGCACGCCAATGAATGATGACAGAATGTGAACTGAACACCACCTAGCCTCTATAAACTGGAGGAACTGAAACACCTTTTAGTGAAGATGCAGAACCTGCCTGAGTGTAGTGAAGTGGGGTCCAAATACATGAGGTACTTCAATTTGTTCTACCTGAGAGCATATTCTAATCCAAACCAAAATCTATTTATGTACACTTTGCATGGGAGCAGGCTAACTTTTCATGTTATCAAAAGATGAAAAACAGTCTAACTGAATTTATGAATGGTTTCACTAGGTTCAAGTAGTGTAAGTGTACTCCCTACGTACAGATCATGGAGTCTATTGTCATCCAACTGAAATGCAGCCTGGGGTAGAAAACCAAGAGGCGGATTACTCAATTTAAGTGCAAGTCCAGGACCATATCAGACAAAAGCTAAGAACTTCTGGTGACATCTTAATGTCACTCTGTCCTAAAGTGATACTGGATATGGTGAATCTGCAAGGAGGGTGCTATTTCTTTTATGTTTTTGCCTGCACACCTTCGTTACACTCATTCCTGACAAGCATGTCTCTTCATCAATGTAGACTGCTTCCTAACAAGCTAGTCCCAGCTAAGTGTGGTCACTGCAGAAAAGTATTGGATTTGACTGCAGTGAAGGTCTACCTACCTCAAGACAAGCTCCCCACTATGCTGTGCCTCACTGATCAATGTCAAACTTACATCAGTTAGTATGTATTACATGTAGGGGACACAGCAGTTTGCTAGACTTACCCTATGCTCCAAACAAGATAGTCTGAGATCAGTATATAAAGAAGACAGATACCAAAAGGATACAACCCCTCCTGAAGTATTCTCTTTGTTAGATTGGTGGAAGAACTCTGTAAGGATGCAGCAGGCTACCATTCTCACCTCTTCCTTCTATCAAGATACCTATAATGGATCCATCCACCCTCCCTAGCAGAGTGCATTGCATTTTGGCCACCTGCAGTTGCAATCTAACTATTTTAAGAACTGTAGCTGCACCTACCTGAAAATTAGATTAAGGTAAGTGTACAATTCAGAGAAAGCAGAAACTAAAGGGGTTGCAGCTTGCTGCAATAGGAAGGAACTGACAGGCAGCTGTGGACATCCTCCCCTCTACATCCCTGGCTCTGCGGCACTAAAGGGATTACACGAACAAGCACAAACATAACAAACAAACACAGCTTTTCAAAAGAACCTAATCTTGCATGCATGGAGTACATAACCAGGAGATGTGCAAGTCACCTGGACAATCACACACTCAAAGAAGAGCCCGAAATCATCTTAATTTTCCTGTGTTGAGGCCTCATACCCCATATAGCCACTTCAATAAGAAGTCATTGTCATTTATGTAAGTTGCCCAAATATGACAGATTTTACTTAGGAAGGTACAGCATATTCATACCTTCTTGTTCTAACAGTTTCAACTTTATTCCGTGGGATATTCATGAATTTATAGCACGGAGAAAGCTACATAAGCAAGATGCACCTGTTCCCCTGACTCAGTATTATCCAGTAAACTTTTTTCTTTTCTTTTTTTTTTGCAAGTAGATCATACATGCATATTTCCCAGCCTACCTGTAGCTTGGTTTCCCTTCCTAGCAAGTATCAGCGGCTTCCCTCGCCGATTTGTTACAATCATTTGTCCCAGCTCTCTGGAGGAAGCAATGGATCCTTCTTGCTGTCTATTGGGCATAATGGTGACAGAAGACTCCTTTGGTTCTACTTGTTTCTTCTTTTGTGCTTCTACTGCTTTTTGTTTGGCATAAATGTATTCTAGCTTCTTCAGGACCACCTCCTCTGTTTTACCTACAGAAAAGTTAATGGAGAAATAGCACCAAACAGGCTTCAAATACTGGTTTGCTCTCAAAACCAAGAATGGAAATGGAATCAACTAGGACCCAGCAACTTCTCTGCTGATTGTTGGGCCAGAGAACATCATTTACCTGTGATTGAGAATGCCTTATTTTACACACGGTGTGTTATAAACAACCCCTATCTGAAGAAAGGCAATTTTGGAGTAAACTAGTAATTTCTTCACGCAGCACAGAGCCACAGACTAAACTATGAGACCAATAGGTAGCTATAAAGAGGAATCATTTATATTATTAGACCTGAAGAAAAATGAACTGCATTCAAAAGCTTGTCTAAATCTATCCCAAAAATGCAGCTGGTCTGATAAATTATATTGCCCACAAAAATCCTTGTCTCTCATGTAAAATATAACCAAAACTAAAAAAAACTGCATTCAGGCTCTTTCTTGATTAAGTCTCAGTCAACAGCAGCCTTCCAACTGAAGTTTTGGGGAGGATTACCAGTTTTAATGCATTTCTGGAAGAATGGAAAGTACCATACTTACCTTGATCCCATGATGAGGTTTCCACCCTGCATTTAACATGGGGGGGGAACCCCTCATCTTGGAATCGAGCATGAGGTGGTAGAAGGAGCGGTAAGCTGCAGCTGTGGCTGCCCTCTGCCTCTGTACCCCCTGCTTCTCTTACCAGCTTCATAGCTGGCACTGCTGCTACTGGGCTGGGCTATGGCCATGCTCCAGGCTGCAGTGCAGATGGTGCCTGCCAGTGCAAAAGCCAAAGCGAAATTAAGGCAGGTGGGGAGAAGGGCACAGAGGTAGCCCCTACCACTGTTTTCCCTGCTGCAGTGGTGGTAGGGATGAATTTGAGACAATCCTCCAATAATTATAATGGCTGCATATGTGGAAAACTATAGTACATTTATAAATTTTCCATTTTCTAATTGTTGGGGGTGTGTCTTAGGCTCAGGTAAAATATGATAGTCTTGTTACCCAGGCTTAACAGAACATAGAACTGACTCTGCATACCTACATGAATACTAGGATCATCCTAAGAACAAGTTATTCAGCATGGAACATAAAATAAACTTGTGTTCATTGGAAAGAGCTAAATTAATTATCTGGCTGATGCAGCTACTCTCAAAGTTATGGGGTTAAGAATATAAAAGTTCCTCAGGGAGTTGAAAGCATGCAATGGAAGGCAACAACATCAGACTTGTGTCTAAAGATAATCACAGTTTTTGAAGGCTATCTGAAGGTGTCTCTATGCCTAGAGGAAACAAAATATTCTTCCTTCTAGATGTTCTCAGTACATCAGACACTACAGACCTAGAGCTCTCTAGCAGGGAGATGTGGCCACCCTCTCCTTTACCTGTGTAGGCAAAACAAATGGGGAAGACTTCAGAAGGATGACTCTATTCCTATAACCTGATGACCAACAGGTCTGAGTTCTGTCGTCAGTCCACTCCACTACAGAATTCACAGACTTCAGTTTGAAGCATCTCCTCACCCTTTTTATTATGCAAACACTGAATCCGTTTTCCCAAATACATTTCAATCCTATCTCTGCCTTCTAAACTCTAAATCTAAGGTGACCGGTCTCCCACTCAGTTGAATGTCTGCTGAGGTCCTTTCTTTTAGTATTTCAGCTGCTTTGTCCCTAAAATGATCTTACCTGAAAGAGTGGATACTTTGCGGATCAAAGCATCCTGTTTGCGAGTCAGTAAGTTCTTCTGTCCAATCAGTTTATCTGCCTGATCAGTCAACCCTTGAATTTCTTCATAGGCCTAGAAGAATACCAAAGCACCAATTTAGAGACTAACCTTATGGATAATGCAAAAAAAGGCAGTTCTCCTGTCCTTCAAACCAGTGATTCTCAACCCTTTTAAGACTTGGGGAATCTCCTGGTAGACTGAAGGCACCCTTGTTAGACTAGAGGCACCCCTCAGCAAATGCCAGCTCTTTTACTTGTTTTTTGACAACAGAAAAATAGAGCAGTTTCTCTGTTGCAAACAATCCAGGAAACACCACAACAGGTCTGAATGTTTTTAACACTATGTATTCCTATTTGAAGTCTTCGGGTTTATTTTGTGAATCATGTTTGCATACCTAATAGAGTTAACATTGTGTGGTACCTGTGGCACCCTTGAAAAAAATCTCAAGAAACCCCAGGGAGCCATGGCTCCCTGGTTAAGAATCACCACTCTAAACAACTGCACTAAAAAAAAAAAAATCTCCCTGCACACATTTTTTACCAATATTATTTTGAGAAACTAGGACACAGTTGAATGCAAGCAATGCTTTTACTTCAAGTCTGTGCACTTCTGTAAACAAAACAGCAAAGTCCTATGATTCTAATGTAAGGATATGCATAATTATGTATCCATGGCAATTAGGCTGGAAACCATTATGTTTGTGTGCTACCATAAAAATTATGGTGGCACATAGCACAAGCAAGTAGATGTCCATACCCCTTGTTGAGCTACAAATGCTGAAAAGAAATTGCAGGCGCATCATATGCCGTATAAGCTTGTGTCATAATTTTGCAGCGGACCTCTGCTTTACACCAAGAGAATGCGGGCAGCCCAGGACTGCCCACACTCTCCAGCTGCCCTGGGCACACGCCCGGTCCTGCATGCCCTGGGAATGGGAATACCATTTGCACACATGGAAAGGGAATTTCAAGGGTGTATAGGATCAGGCCCTAAAGCCTCAGCGTGCCTGCCCAGGCTCCTCTATTGGCAGAAGCATGGCCTGGGAACCACCTGGCAGGGGAGTCTGAGCACATACTGTGCTGCTGCATCCTGACTTCGGGTGCCCCTGTGTAAACTGGGAACCCTGGGTCCCCTGCTTGCAGACATATGCCCTGAGATTCCCCAGGTATACATAACATGCTGTCACACCTCAATTTGGGGGTGTACCTCTGCAAACAGGAAACCTGCAGTTTCCCCACTTGCAGAAGCACACCCCAAGTCAGATTCTCTTGACACACATCTCTGCAAATGGGGAAAACCAGGGTTCCCATTTGTAGAGGTGCACCCTAAGCATCGTCTCACAGGATCAGGCCCCAGCCACTCCCAGAAGGGTCCTGGCCATGCAGGATAATGGACATCAGTTTTGCTCAGTGAAGTAGAATATCTGCGCCAGGACACATCCCCACACAGCTCTTCTGCTTTATTTGGTATTATCTGTTTATAGCCTTACGGTCCATTTGTTTCCTGCCATGTATGCTGTTCTAATCAAATCCTGTGCTGAAATATAACATTTAATGAAGGTAAATCTCTTCCAACATCAAACAGGGATAATTCTCTTTAGTATACATTAAAATGTCCTGGTTGTAGAAGTTAAAACTTTTATCAACTTTATTGTGTTAAATTCATGAAGGGAGTAATGAAGGAGAAGGAAACTAAATTCTTCATACTTTTATCATCCAAACTGATCTAGAGGGGACATACATTCACTATTACCAAAGGATTTTTATATCCTTAAAAAGTGCTTCTAAAAGACAATGCCACCTTGCCTACTACCCCAACCGACAGGGTTTTTTTTCCATTTGAGTTCTCACTGTAAAATACTTACTTGTTTGAGGATGTAGCACTTGGAGACCTTTGGAATGTTGTGCAGTCCCAAAGCTCCCTTCAGCTTCTCAAAGAGATCCCTCATTTCATTGCGGCGTCGACGTTCATTTGCTGTGTGCGTCTGGCGGTAATGAGCAAAAGCCTCTGCCTCACTCTTTTGCTTTCTGTTCCAAAATTGAGGTTTCTGTTGGAAGAGAAACTATATGATACGATCAAATAAAACAGGAATTCAAGAGCAAATGAATACACACCAAACTTAAAGTCGCTACAGACACATTCCTAGGGTGTCTGTGCCCGAAAGCTTGCAATTAAAGACTTTTTTGCAAAAGTCTCGTTAGAAGTGATATCTTTTATTAGATCATCATGAGCCCCAATTGCTTTTTCCTCTAGACCAATACAGCTACAACTTGGATACCTAGATAACCCAACACACAGCAAGTCACAACACTGCTAAATTAAATCGTAACATTTAGCTACCAGCTCTTCACAAATGCTGATGCATCCTGAGAATATGACATCCTGTAGTCATCCTGTAGTAATTGTGTAATACAGTTGAAGTAAGCAACCTACATGCTTCATGGAGACAAAGTTAAGAACCTGAGCAGCCATTACTATTTACAGCAGGGGTGGGCAATTATTTTGGGTGGAGGGCCACTTACAGAGTTTTGGCAAGCCATTGAGGGCTCCATGACAGGCAGCCAGGGGCAGATAAATATTAATTTTCTAAATTTTTTAGGGGCCCCACAGGCCGGATCGAATGGCCTGGTAGGCCGCATTTGGCCCATGGGCCTCATTTTGCCCACCTCCGATTTACAGGCACTCAGCATATTAAAGAACCTCTGTAATGTATAGACACTGCAATACAAGGCAGTATACCATGGTTTTCATAAATATCAGCATGCACTTGTAACTTACCCCTTTTACTTTTTTTTTTTAAACTCCCCCCATGCAAAAAACCACAATGAATACTGAAGCTACCAAATCAAATTTTGGACAAGTGAACTTCTAACTGTTAAACCAATTTCATTTATACACAGCTGGAGGAGTATGGAGGGAACGGGGGGCAAACAGACAGCTGCCATAAAAATAAGGGAGCTCAGAGAACATATTAATTTAAGGTACAGATAATTTAATTAAAAATGTTAAAAGCAGGCTCTGATTAATTTAGCTGCCATGAAGTAAATATATAGCTAGCTATATTTATGTTAGCAAATTTGTTGGTTTTATTGTTACTTGGAAGGCTTTTGAATGCAAACTTTTTCATTCTGCAATACAGCACTATCTCCTGACAGACCTCTTCAAGCTAATTATGGAAGTCATTTTGAGTCTGTTCCAAAGCCCAAAGTCAATGAAAAGTGTCTCACTGATTTAAAGGCCTTTTGATTTAAAGCCCAATTAAGAGTTCTCTACCTTAACACAGTATAGCTATTTAAGATATCATTTTCAGGAATCCAGATTCCCTTTGTCATTTCAGTAGTCTTGTTGATAAACAATAAATCCCTTTTACCAAATGAAGGAAAACCTAATTCCAAAATTTATTACATTACACACATAGCAAATTATATATGCTACGAAGAGAAAATCTGTGACATCTTAAGAGTTAAAAAGATTTATATAACAGCAGTAATTTCCTACTATATATTTAAACTTAGATCCAAAGCCCTCAAAAGTTAAGGTCAGGCTTTTCACTTGAATGGGATTTTAATTGTATGAGCAACCCCTACCTGGCTTCTAGCCCTGTTAATCGTAAATTTAAATATCACATTTATGTTTCTCTGGTTATAGAAGTCTATGTTTAAAATGGGAGATGTGATATTAGAAGGAAAAAAAAGGAGTAATTGTATACCTTAGTAGACTTTTCTGTTGTTTTCTCATCTGAAGAGCTGCGAATATGGTATCTGGAAGACAGCCAAAAAGTTTTTCCCAATGCTAAACATCTCACATGCTCTTTTGTCATTAACTACCCTCCCAACAGCCTCAGAATTACCTGCGTTTATTCCCTGAAAATATGTGAGACAAATGTTTACTGCTGCTAAGATCTTTTCTAAGAAAATAGGCTACATTTTAGATAATGTCATACTTACAAAAAGCCAACTTTCTAATAAGTGTAAAATAACCAACCATACAATGCAAACAGACAAGCTTCTATTTCTCCACATGAAAAAGATTGAGAAATAAGTGTCTGTCAGCAACATCCTCAAATATGTTAAATGTGAACTCCAGAGCCAAAACCAATGGTTTATACTAAATAAAAAAACAAATTCAAGAGCAATTGAATATACACCCGTTACTGTGTTATTATAGTCTCAATCCTAGATATTAAAATAAAAACACCCACACAGTTCCCCAGTATTTTCTGAGAATCTTTTTTGCTTTTAATATATTCACATCTAGTAATAAATCATATCTTGACTTCCCTGTTTTTACTGAAATATATTTCTCAGAGGATAGGGAGGTAAGTATATTTTCAGATATGCCAAGTGATCACCAAGATCCTTTACAGATTTTGTCAAAATCTTTCATCAAAAGAGGATGAGATACTGCTAACATAGCACATAAAAAGGGGAAAAATATAACTATTTGGTCAACTAGTTCATTTTCAAGCAACTCACTAGGGAAAAAAACTGCATTAGTGCTTTCCATTAGTAGAGAAAAAAGCATACTTCTGCTTGGAAGGTCGAATATTAGCAGCAGTAGCCTTCAGACGGGCAATATTAATCTTCTCTGAGAGTTCTTCCACTGTTTCAATGTCCACCTGCTCTTCATCCTCGCTGTACTTGCATGAATTCTGGAACAGTCATTTAACAAAGTAAGTATCTAATTCTGAAACAAGAGTTCAAGCCAAACACTTTTTTCACTTTAGACTCAAGAGAGATTATAGTATTATAATAGGAAACAAGACTGGTTTCTGCCAAGAAACAGAGGTTAGACAGGGTTTTTTAAAATGATCTTAACCATGACTTTCAAGGAAAACAGCTCCCTCCCACCATTTCAGAGCAGACTGGGAGTGATGACAAGGCCAATTTTTGCTATTTAGTCATTTAGTATAAATTACACAAAGCCTGCACAGACGTAGAGTCTTCTAATTTACACTTTCAGATACAAAATCAGACTGTCCTTAAGGTGAAGCCTTATTCATTTTGGACCTCTGCCACTGACTCATTCTTGCTCCAATTAAAATTAATGCCAATTTGGAAATCTATGGAGATGGCAAAAATTACTGTAACAGAAAGAGAAAAAACTAGTCATTTTTTACCTTGTGAATTTAGCTTCTCTTAATGCTTAGAGTCAGTTTTACTGTTTTTTGGAGGCCCATGACATCTCTCTCATGTCCCTAATTCTCCTACACTATGTGAGGAACTCATGCACAAACTTTCTTCAGCTCATGCAAAAATGAGTGCTTGACCAGTCACTCTGGTGCTCTTAAGAACACTGCCCCTACAGTTATTTTTAAATAAAACTAACTCCAAGGCAGATATGCTTTAAGATTATCCCAACACAGTAAACTAAAAAATCCTATCCCAGTTGTCACTATAGAGATTAAAAAGCTGTGTGCCAGTGCTTAGAATGCTGGAATGGCAAAGTCTTATTCAGTGTCATACAAAAACCTCAAACTTTAACAATTTACAAAAACAGTCTTTATTCTTTTACATTTGTCATCACTAATTCAATTATACACTAATATTTCCTTCCTTTTTTGTGAGAAATATAATTATGCCTCCATTCTAAACTTCATTTCATCGAAGTACCCTGAACCACTCTTCCTGGTCTTCTCTTGTCTCTCTCTCTTTTTTTCTTTCTTTCTATCCCTTCCTTCCTTATAGGGAGCTGCTTCCTCTCTTCTTTGAATTGTATACTTACCTAAAACCAATATAAACATTTAATTACAGGAAATAAAATAAAAATTAAGTAAAAAGACAACATGCATTGATAACAGCAGAGAAAAGCGAGAGGTCTGCAAAAGCTACTACTTTATTTCAATTTGCAACTTATCCTGCCTATTACTGTGAATACACAGAGCAGTACTGGTATTTTAACTGACTCTTCTGGCTGAAAGGGAAAAAAATGATGTTGGATTACATACTCGAGATATTGGTAACTGGGTATAGATTAAGGTTGGCTAGGGCAGCAGAGGATAGTCAATATGAATACAGAGCCATCTGTAACTCCATAACTACTTGGTGCCTGCTAATATAGTACTTCCAATTATCAGTAAACCATAAACTAAATATAAACCAACAATATGCTCTTGTTGGAAAATAAATAAATAAGCCAACAGCATCCTGGGTTATATTAACAGGAGTATCATTTGCAAATCAAGGGAAGTGATTCTTCCACTGCATTCAGAACTGGTGAGGCCTCACCTGGAGTACGGTGTCCAGTTTTGGACCCCACACTTCAAGAAGGACATGGACCACGTGGAAAGAGTCCAACATGGATCAACAAAGATGATTAGGGGCCTTGGAGAAGCAAAGACTGAAGGGGAATTTGACAGCATTCTTCAAATACCTGAAGGGAGATTGATTACAGAAAGATGGAGATGGGCTTTTCTCAGTGACTGTAGGGGAGGGGACTAGGAGCAATGGCCTCCAGCTTCAGCAGGGAAACTGAGATTAGAGACTAGGAGGAACTTTCTGACTATAAGGGTGGTCAAGAACTAGAATAGTTTACCTAGAGAAGTTGTGGAAACTCCACCCTTGAAGAGTTTTCAAGAACAAGTTGGACAGAGTTGTCTGGGATGATCCTGCCTTGAGCAGGTGGCCAGACTAGATGACCTTGTAAGGACCCTTCCAGCCCTACTTTTGTATGATTCTATGAACTTATGCTAGGGGAACATGGCACTTAAAGTGATCTAACTTAGAACAGGCAAGGGGAAATAAAAAGAATATTTCTTAGCTGGTAAAGTCCTTTCTTCTAGCAGCATCTCCCACAGTTGTGTACTACACACAGGTTGTGCTTCTGCAGATTGCAAAACAAATTCAGCACCACTGCTAATTTACTGTACGCTTGACTCCCTCATGCTGCTCTACCACATGAGTTAATGCAAAGATTTTTATACATAAAACTCTCAACAGGATATTATTTGAATTAAGTAGCTAGAAACTCCTGCAACTATGCACAGAAACACTTCTGCCATCTCATTTACTTACAATAAGTTTCCCTTTGTTACTGAGATCTTATATCGATGGCAAAATTGTGGGATACATTGCTAGCAGAAGGGAAACCAGCAGTATATATATTTCAAACCCTTATGAAGCACAGTATCTCCCTTAATTATGTACCCCCAACATGAAAGGCAATAAGCAGAGATATTATAAGGGATGGGAAGAAACTAAAGAGAGATGGTCCCTCTTCCTAGAAAAAATTAGAAACAAAATGTAATTCTCCACTACGGGACACGATCACACAGAACAACTGGAAGAAGAGTTGTAGTTTGATTAAGGGGAGCCAGAATGAACTACATGAAGGAGACCCTCCAATGCATTCTGCACCTCCTTTGGTCATCTCAATCTCTGCAACCAGGCAGAGTGCCTCATAACCACTATTGTAACCATAGGGCACAATGCCTGGTCTGGCATATCTATGACTGCTTGGAGCAAAGTCCCTGCCAATGTCTGCCCTTCAGAAGCAAGGGCTGAGAAGGTGTCTCTAACTTCGGCTGATAGGTTGGCTGTCAAAGTTACTTATATGTTTCTAAGCCCAAGCCAGGCAAATTGATAATTTAACCTAGAGGCTTGCAGGAAAATAAGATTTTCTTTGTAGCAGGTTCACAGCCACTTCTCCTTAAGAGTGGACCTAAAAAGCTTTGGTTTTTATTTATTCAGTAACAACCACCGAGGAAAGCGGAAGGTGGATATAAAAATATTATGGCCCTTTAGGGGCAACTAAGCACTTTCTATTAACCTTCCATTGTGGCCACATTCATGGGCAGAGACAGCTTGGTACAGCCAGATTGCTGCAGGATGACAACTTCAACCATCTGCCCAGGCCAAAGTGGAATATTTTGTTTACAGAAGAATAGAGGAGCCTGGTTTCTTGAGGCTCATCCAGTCTCTAACCTGAATATGGAGAATCCTCTTAATCTAGTAAATGCATAGTCAGAAGAGCAGGAGCACCTGGCAGAGCAACCTATCTACTGCATGCAGAGTATGGCTAGAAAGGCTAGATAAGAACCACGTAGCTACTCAGCTGTGAACAAAGGGGTCTGAAGGCCAGAAAAGTCCTTGAGAGGAACCTCTAGCCCTACAGTGCAGTTTCACAGGCAGAACTGTGCTTCATATCAAAACCAGATGAGTATCTCAGCCAAGCCAACCTTTGCAAAGCTATGTACAAAGACAGGACAAAGCTATGGAAGAGCATGTCACCATGGGGAGCATAAGCTGCAACGTTGCAGAAAGGAGTGAGGCATTCAGGTACAGTTTAGAGCACTGGTAATCAACCTATTTAGACTCCAGGCACCCTTCAGAAAAATTAGTTCTCACTTATTTTCTGACTACTAAAAAAACAGTACAGCAGTGTTTCTGTCACAAGGAACTCAGAAAGGCCACAACAGATCTGAATGTTTTTGACACATTGTTTCACCTTTGAAATCTCTGGGTTTAATCTTGTAAATCATGCATTTACAACAGTGCTAACATTGTATGGCACCCCGTGACACCCCTGAAAGGATCTAAAGGCACCCTAGGGTGCCTCAACATCTTAGTTGAGAATCACTGTTTTAAAGATAATGGATGGGAAAACAGAAAGGAAACACTCACAGTTCTTCCTTCCTTCTTCTTCAGCCAATATACATCATGTCTAACAGCAGTGGGGCTTCTCTCTGATGAGCTAAAGGAGACCTAAGCCAGTCACGAGGGAAGAGAAAACTGAATGAGATGTGGATTCTGTAGAAAGGGAGAATTCTCAGGGAGTTTTCCCTCTTTCTCTGGGCCTCCTTATTTCTACAGTAGAAGACAACCCCCATTCACACCATCTTTAAAGCCTCAGGTTTTCTGGTTCCCTCATAAGCCTTTGATGAAAAAAATTATCTTTGTTCCCCCCACTAAGAAGTACTTCTCTCTAGTGACTGGGTTACACTTTAGCCTTTTTCTTTTTTGAGAAGTAGATAGAGATGTATTTATTTAAAATTTAAGCTTAGTTCTCTATATATCATGCTAAACTAAGCTTGCCCAGGCAGACTTTCTCCACCAACACTATTAACAAAAAATTTTACAACTTTTGTAATTCTATGTTAAACTGACAAAAACTTGGTTACACATACTAGACCTTAGGTAGAAATGTGAAGCAAGCAAGTCCTTCTTATAAAAAGGACAAGAAGTGTCCTTTGCAATTTGGGTTAAATACTGCTGCTTTCTGGGTACTGTTTTTCAGGATTTTATTTCCCAAACAATTTCAAAATTTGAAGAAAAGTTATATGGTGTATATGGAAGTAAAATAGTAATCTTGAAGCAGATAGTACTTTTCTGTGATTTGCAAAGGGAAGAAAGCAGGAAGAAAAACAAAATATTTTTATTTGAAAATGAATCCTGAAGGAATGATAATGACTATCCCAGACTTCAGCAAAGGATCTCATAATAGTATAAGGAAAGTACAGCCAAAAAAGGCTATATTCCAAAATACAACAGATAATGAAAACTAAAAACCTGTTCCTGCTCCACCTCATATACCAGTACATCTGCAGTAAAAAACAGCAAGTACAGTTTTGATTGCAGAGATCCTTTCAACATATATACAATTCAAATGAGTACTTAAAAATCTCTAACTTTCTAGAATGAACTAAAACTAGAGGCAGGGAAGAGGGAAAAAATAGATAGCTTATGTGACTAGGAGCAAAGAACCAAACTAGGTAACAACACATGCTAAAGAGCCACTGAACTTACCAACATATAACAATTTACACGTCTATGGACAAATCATAAAATCATAGGAGAAAAGGGCCTGGAAGGGACCTCAGGAGGTCTCTAGTTCAACCCTTTGCTCAAGGCAGAATCATCCCTATCTAAACTATCCTAGACATATGTTTGTCTAACACAGGGGAGTCAAACTCATTTGGCCCCCAGGAACGAGTCCACAGGCCAGATGAAAAGGCATGGGGCTGGCCCCAGGGGCTGAATCCAGCCCTGTGCTACACTCTGGCTGGTCTAAGATGCACATGACAGATCTAGCACCTGCACCACACTCCAACCAGTCAGGGACATGAAGCGACTGTGGCACCCATTCTGGCTGGTCCAGGAAAGGTGCAGTGCAGATTCCAGACTAGCCAAAGCAGGCACTGCATCTGGCATGCTAGAGATGCAGGCACATTCCTCCTCCTCCTCCTGACATGCCAAATCCAGAACCCAACTCTAGTTGGTCTGGAACCGCGCTTCAGGAAGTGCTGCATGCAGTGTGTCTGCCTTGGACTGGCTGGAGTGGGCACCACATGTGGCACAGTCTCAGACTGGCTGAAGCAAGTGTTGGATCCAGCATGCAGGGGGAGTCCAGGACTAGCCCTACATGAGTGCCATGTGCAGCACGCATTGTGAAATGAACGCTGTGTGTGGCATGTATCCCAGGGACCTGCATCCAGGGTTGGTCCAGTGCCTGCTGCATGGCATGTGGATCAACTCAAGACCCAAAACCAGCACTGGGGGCCAGATGACTATGGGCTGTATCTTTGGCATCCCTGGTCTAACCTGTAAAACTGCATGAACAACCCAATCACACCAACTACCAGGCATCATACCCAAAACAACCTCTGCCGCAACTTGCTAAAGGTAAAGCAGAGGAAAAAGGCACTATTCAATGTCCAGCCACAGCAAACAGTTAAAAACATGCTCAAGAGATCCAAGGAAGAGGACTATAGGCCCCACTACAGAGGATGGCTAATGCTGTGGGGGGTTTTGCTTATCTGGCTGAAAATCCCTTCCTGATCCCAAATGTGGTGGTCAGTCTGACCCTGAGCAGAGAAGCAAAACCCTTTTGACCAGAACCTCTAGGTTTTTTAAGTCTCAGCGGAAGCATTGGTACACCTGTCTTAAATCCCAGCCTTTGGCAGCAGCCAACAATCAATGCTTCCATGAAAGACGAGCAAAACCCTGGCTTCTGCAGCAAAAGAAAAGGAAAAATTCCTTTGTGGCATTCAGCAAAGCTCAGAAACATAAAAAAACCAATCGCCCTCCACTCTGCAACCTGGGGACCATGAACGCAAATTCACACCCTGATGGACAGCCAGAATTCCCCTTTCTATCATCCTATGTCCTCCATAAACTTATCCCAGATCCTTTAACCTTCTTTAATAACCAAGCTGATTGTGAAGGTCTGCTTTATTCTCCTGTGCTGAGCAGTCCTCTCCAATTTCTGCTTTGGACTGCAGAGGTCTTCCCATGATCTCCGCGCAACGCATGTAGCGGTCTTTTTAGTTTCCACCTACTGCTCTTCACAGCACGCTCCAGGCATTGCTACTTTTAAATTATCCCTGACTATGGCTATTTAACCTCTTCTTGAAAACCTCCAATGAAGGAGACTCCGCGAACACCACACCCATAAGGAGCTTGTGCCGTTGCCTCACTTTTCTAACCTCTCTCATCTTCCCTTGATATCCAATCTAAACCTACTCTGCTGCATTATTAAACCACTGCTACACATCCTACAGTCCTTCAGATATTATGCCCCCCATTCACAGCCTTTTCTGTAAGCTTAACATGAAAGCATCATATCCCAGCACATAATGGCAGTAAAAATGAATCAACAGGTACTCAAGTGGGTTAACAATCTGAGTGATGCTACTCCCCCTGCACACTCTTTGCACAATGGACAGACAACCTTCAGAAAGTACTTCTCTGTATATTCACAGAAAGGACAACAGAGATTAAAAAAAATACTAGGCCTGAAAAAAACAAAAACAAAATTTATCTCCAGCAGACTTTCTATGGGTTTTCAGAACTATGAAAACATGTTTGATGAATGACAGCAATGAATTCAATGCAGTTTTAAAGGTTTACAAAAGTAGCAAGCCATCTAATGATAGGACTTCACTTAAGTACCTACAGTGGTCATTAATTAAATACGCTTGACTACTACTAGTCATATTGAAAGCTCAGCATATAACTGATTGTTTACTCAGGTAGGGTTTTCAGCCTATGCTGAGCTGTGTTGCTGCAGCTTCTCTGTTAACAGTACCTAAAGCTAGTTACATCTAGCGGAGCAACAATGTGGATATACAGATAGTCTTTCACAACTCAAGCCTGTGAAAGAATTTTGCTCAAGATACTTAGGCAAACAGACACTATAGAGGGAGTTCAAAGAGCCTTCATATTTGCTTCTAGAAATGAGGAAGGGTCACCATGAGAAGGTAGGAAGATGGAAACTGATCAAATACCTTTTTCATGATCCTAAAAACTGTTATGTTCTAAAGTGAAAAACTGACTTGTTTGAACCAATATCAAAGGGAAGGAACGTACCGTGTTTCTATCACTAATCTGTCAATGCATCCCATTTCCTTAACAGCGAAACAGACAACTCTGCCTACGATCCTGTCTCTCAAACAGAACACATACTATTAATAGAGCCAAGTACTGTCAAGAGTTTGCGTAACTAGCCTGAAACCAAAAACTTTTTGACCTGTATTCACATCTTTCAAAGTAATTAACACCTAGCCCATTAACAGCTTAGTGAGTTTCTAGGCTTGCGTATCTTGACACAATATTAGCTTGTTGTTTTTCAGGGGGAAAAAATATTTCACAAATCAAGATGTTGCAGTTTACAGTTAGGTACCCACCAGTTTTTCAACATCCACTTCCTCTTCACTTTGAAAGTCAGAAGCTCCATCTAGCATCTCATCAGCAGAATCATCAGTTTTTTCATCATCCTCATCCTCCTCTTCCATGTAATCAAGAGCAGTATCAGCAGTGGGTATATAACCCTTTTTGTGATGTTTGAATTCTTGTGCTCTATCTTCTGGTGTTAGGAGATAATCTTTAGCAGATTTCTCAGTTTTGCCATCATTCTCTGCACTGCTTTTATTTTTGGAAGTGGTTGCATGACTAGATATTTTGTTCCCAGAATCACTGACACGTTTTGAATCGACCTTACCAGTTTTACCTTTTTCCTGCAAATCAGCAGTGCCTTGCTCTTGGTTAGGTGTGTCATGGCTTTCTTGGATTACCAAACTTTTACAGCCCTCATCACTTCGTACATGTTTCTCTCCTGAGGTTGTATACTTCTTCCCTGTGTGACTGATCTCAGATTTATTTCCTTCTTCTTCCCTGATACTCTCTGCCTCTGTAGATCCCGCACATTCTTTTTTGACCTCTGACTGTGCAGCACTGCCTTCAGGTTTTTTCTGGTTGTCAGGAGGCTGAGTCTTCTGCTCCTCTTTGCTCACCAACTCTGCATAATGCTCTTGCTTCTCCTGTGGACTCTGTGGCTGTGCAGCATCCACAGTGTCCTTCCCTTTGTTCTGCAACTGTGCATTTTCCTCCTGATTAGTATCTGGGCTCTCTGCCTGTTCAGAGTTCATTTGTTCCACCCCACAGCTCTTTAATTCCATGGCCTCTGCAGCCTCTTCCTGCTTCCCGAAACTCAGTGGACATGTAGTATTTGCAGGCTCATCTGCTATCAGACCGGTTTGTTCTGATACTTCCAAAACAGTTTCAGCATTATCTGAAACCTCCCCTGATGCCTCTTCAGAATCTACAGGTGTCTCTTTCTTCTCAGTGACAACTTTATTTTTCTCACTGATGTACGAGTGGTCTGATGATATCACATCAGCAGACACATCATGTTGGAAGGTGGAAGTGTCATTTGAGTAATCCTCCAGCATCTCTGAATCTCTGTCAGCTGTTTCGGATGCAACAGAGTTTCTGTCAGATAACATCATACTAGCTGCTGACTCCCCACTACTAGTTAACTGATCTACTGACAATTCATTTTCCTCTGGTTTGCTGTCTGACACTGTGACCTCCGATTCCATAACTTCAACCTCTTCTGGCTTTTCATCCTCTTGCTGCTTAGTAGGAATGAACTCCTCTTCTTTCTGGCTTACATTCTTGGAATCCTTCTTTACCTGAAGGGATGCCACATGATGTAGAATGGAGTTTGGAACAGACTTCTGTCCTAGGAGCTGAAGCAAAGCAAAATTGCCAGACTGAAGTGGTATGAGATTGGAAGCACTAGTTGGCTGACCTCCTGAGCTTTGGGTTACTTTAGTTTCAGAGCACGTTTGACCTGCCATGGTGCTGGAAGCTGGAGGTGAGATCCTCAGAGTCAGAGTGCTTGCTTGTGATACAAAACAGGGCACTGGTGGTAGGATGGATGATGCTTGAGTGACCAGATTAGCTGCTTGTGGAGACTTGGACCCCACAGTCTGTACTACTGGGCTTGTTACAGGGGAAACAGAAGACACAGGAGTGGAGAGAGTAGGAGATACAGGCGTCTCAGGAGGCTTAGAAGGTCCAGGCAACTGAATTCCTACAACAGATCCTATGTGAGAGATATTAAATATTAATTACTATTTCCAGAAATCAATCTCTCTTTGTGGTTCCAGCACATGGTGCTATATAGTAAAACAGACAATTATGGACCATAAACTTAGGTATAAGAAACCTGGTGCTGCAGAAGTGGTACACTGCTATACAATTTCTGTACTACGTTTCCTTTTCACAATTTTTTTGAATCAATACACAATACAATCATAAGCACAACTCAAAAAAAGGACATAATGAAAATATTTTTAAAAATCTTAGAAGTTTCTTTTAAATCAGAAATTTCAAATGAAATTTAAAAGTTCAATTTTTTAATTTTCTGTTGGTAGAGAAAAACTCCTTCCTCCCTACAATTGTTAAGAGAAGAAAAGTGGAATTCCACACCCCCCACCTTCCCCCCAAACAGACAAAAGGGAAGTTATGGACAATCTCATTTTGAAATTTAAAAAAAATACATAGTTTTTATGAAAATGTGTTCAATTTAAAAGTTAGTGAATGAAATACTGTTGAAATAAATTGACCATACTAAGAGGTTATATTAATTTTTTTCACTTTACTCAACCTTAGTAATTTGTGCACTTATAGGACCCCAAAGGGACATTTTTAAAAGAAAAAAAGAGAGAGATGCCACCATAAGCACCAATTTTCTCTTGCTGTTGTTGGTGGCAAGTGGAGTCAGCAAATGCAAAGCATTTGTAAAAAACCTCCCCCTTGCAGTGTTTTTGCATTTCAACCCTTACCCAGAATCTTTTGAGGGGCCAAGGCCTATCCTTCCATGCAAGTAACATTCTGGCCAATTACAGTAAAAGCTTTGTTATCCAGCATGTGGCGTAAGGGGGGGTGCCAGTTATATAAAAATTCTGGTTTCCTGAAGGCAGGGGGTTTTTGGCCAGGCATGGAGCAAGGGGTTGGCAGTGGCTGTACACGGAGCAGAGGACGGGGGGCAAGTGGAGCAGTGCAAGGTGGTGGGTGGCAGAGAGCTTTCCCAGCCACTTGCAAGCTTCTCCCCTCAAACCCCCCTGTCTGGCTGGCTGGCCAGAAATTCCCGTTAATACAGTGTTCTGGTTACTTAAATGCTAGTTAACACAGCTTTTACTGTACTGCCCCTCCCCAGACAATTTTACCAGGGCTTGTGCTTGCTGTTCCTATTTTGACTGGTGGATTTTGTTTCTCAGTTTGCCCACCAAAGCTGCATTTACAGAAAAGGGGGCAGAAAAGGAGAAATTATGTTATACATACACAGCATTCTTGAGAAGCAGCAGGACACTGCTTCCTGTCATCTGCCTGTCTGTTCTCAATTTCCATGTTGTTAAGAGAGAACTCTTATTTACAAGTGAGAGAGACAGACCTGCAAGATTTACCCCCTGAAAAATACATTTAATCAGTCAAGAACAGCTTGGGCTTTTTACCTGGATTACGGACCATTACTGGCTGAACATTGGGTTGGGTGCCAGCAGCTCGGAGCTGATGCAGTGGGACAAGCTGAATGATCTGCCCATTAGGATGTCTGAACAGGTTTACCCCACCAGGGCTCCTGAGAGGCTGCAAAACCATCCTCTGTCCCTGAGCAAGCTGCACATTGTGGAGGGGTCGCAAAGGAGGAGCGCCTTGAACTGGAATCAGTAGTAATCGAGGTCCCACACGCTTTTCTGTTCCAGAAGGCAGCCCCTGGGGATTTGCAGTTGTAGTAAGAGGAGCAGCATCTTCTAAAAAGTTATGTAACAATAATAATAAAAAGACTGCAAGTTACAACACACGTTGACAGAAGAAAGTCATTAGGCATTGGTTATTACAGATGTAGGCAAACAAAAATTTCAGGGACAAGAGTAACTTTTAAAGTCAATGTCCCTCCAAAACTACTTTGTAAGTAATGTCATTAAGTTTATCCACAAAACATGTAACAATATGAAATCCATACGGTACAATTTTCTCCACACTGTTCTAGTAACGCTATTCAACCGTGATGCAGAAATATCAACCCTAGGAATGACAGTTGGGGTGACATTCCAACTGTGGTGGCCCTGGAAAAATGCAAAAGGCAAGGGGTTTTGTGGATGATTTCTTTTTTTGGGCCAAATATACAGTTGAGAGGGACACAGACAAGCTTTCTGTGTATGACGTACCCTTCTTCTGAGATTTAATATAAAAAGATAACACCCACAAAAATCTAATCCTAGAAATAACATTTAATTACTTCCATGCCAACTTTGTATCCTTTTTGCCAAGACTGCCAATGACCACACCAGCTTGTGGGAACTGTGGTGGTGATGGTTTTGTGATATGGACATTTATCAGTTGGGAAAATATCTTGTAATGTCTCAGCTCATTTCACCTTAGCTGCTGAAAAATCATCAGGTAGCTATTTTTTGTTCACTGTAAGCCTTGCCTGGAGTAATACCACCAACTTACAAGTGAAGCTCTATATCCCACTATTGTGCTCTTTTTTTTTCCCCTCAGACTGAACTGGTTAGTTGCAGATTTATTCCACCTAGGAAGACAGAAACTATAAGTCTTTATACTAACCATCAACCCATAGAGCCCAAGACTTACCCGGTCTTGGATTCAATGAAGGACCTGTATTAATCCCCGAGAGTATAATAGGAACAGAACCAACAGATGAAGTTGGCGTGGTCACCGTGGATGTCACTACTGCAGTTGTCGTCACAACTGTGGAAGTGGAGGTGGTGGGAACAGGATGAGTAACTGTTGGTGACGTTACTACAGATTTAGGAAATGATACCGTTGCTACTGGTGTAGCCATCTCAGTTGTTTTTGCTATGTTCACAGTGGCAGTAGGTGTGCTGGGTGAGGCAGTAGTACAGGCGTTGGTTCCAGATGTTCCAGGAGCACCTGTAATGGCAATGCCGGGAGGAGAGTAGGTAGATTCATTAGCTCCTGTAGGGCCAGTTGTGGTCACAGTAGTTGTTGCCACAGTAGATGGTGCCACAGTGGTAACACTTTCTAATGTAACTGGAGAGGTGGTGGTAGCTGCAGTGACCCCAGAAGAGAGTGTGCAGTATACCGGAGATGGCCTTGAGGGAACCACGGGACTGACGACCATTAATGGTGTAGGCCTGATATTGAACTTCTGTGGCCCTGTCAGGGGCTGTGGTGTGCTCACTCCAGGAATCTTCTGTTGCAGAGCTCCAACTTTACTCATCACAAACTGTGTGAACACACCACCAGGTGAGGGTCGAGCAGCTGCAAATAAAAACTTGCAGGTCAAAATTGCAACAGGCTCCCTCTGCCGTTCATAAGATGCCACATCAGCAATTTAGCAAGAATTTAGCCCCTAGTTTTCTTAAAGACACCTTGTATATAAACTGAAACTTGAATAGGCTTTGCATTACATCAAAATGTATATATATCTTGGCCACACAAAAGAATCCAGCCTTAAGGGATTGCTCTTTATTGTGAAACTACTAAGAGAGAATTCACTTTCAGGACACAAAAGTATAAACTAAATGGTAGAGCAGACTCAAAAGGAATTCCCTAAGTTTTAAATCTACCTTATAAAAGCTTATTTTTGATGTTTTTGTCCTATCACTGCTTCTCGGTCTCCGTCCCCCTTCTATTGCATCCAGTCTTTTTAAAAAGGTAGACATTGTTTGTTTTTTAATTTTGAAGAGGGTCCAGCGTAGTCCCTTCAAACTGCAATCACCTGCCTACAGTTGAGGGCAAATGGGATCATTTTTAACCAACTGGAATGCGCCACTTTTGAGAAGCTTCTTCCACATATATTCCACTCTTCACAGATCAGAACACTGATTCCATAGCACTCCAGACCCTATAAACTGGAGAATAAAACCCAGATATGCAGGAAAACAGTGTGCGAGCATTACTATTAGGCAAACTCAGTGGTAACATCTTAATTACTTACTGACGTACATGTGCACATGCACACATACCCACCATTCTTTACTTCAGCATGTCAAAACATTTTGCAAAATTAGATATGCACAAATTACTTCACCCACCAAAAAAAATGCAGCCATCGCTTTAATGTTGCACAGATATACAGTACAAATGTTAATTACAAGAAAAGGAAAACAATATATCCTGTTTATACTGTAGAGAAAATTTAGATAGGAAGAACATTAACCAAAAATATCAGAATTTTGCCAGGACACAGGTTGACATCCCCTTCTCTTGCAAAAGAGTTTCTTGGAATCTTTAATAACCACGTGGTTGGGCCTCTTTGTTTTTCATATCCAAAAGATAGCACTTCTAACAAGCAGTTTGCTTATGCCATGCTGGGGCAACCATTTGATTACTGTCGGGGAACAGCAGCCCCAAGGTCAGGGTGGGCCAAGGGTTCGGATCAGTTCGAACAGGCGGGATTCGCGGCGAGGAGTCTGAGCGGTTCGGGACACGTGCGGTTTCAAATAAATTGGATTTTATTTACTTACGCTACTGGAGCGTAGGTTGAGACGCTTGCTTCAGTTACAGTTAGAACGAATTGAACGAATGACAAAGGAGACTGTTGGCCCACGGGGATCCGGAGTGAGCCCTTGCTTTCTACCCCGAAGGATAGGTGCGGCTGCCCACTCAGTAGTCCCAGGGCTGGTCAACAGCTTATTGAACGGGTGACAAACAACGACAACTGTAACACGGTGTGACGCCAGTCCAAGGTGGGCAAACTGATGATCGGTGCCGAGGTCGATGAAGAGTGATGCTGAGGTCAGTACCGGGTATGGTAAAACAAAGCCGTAGTCGAAGTGAGTCGGGTTGATCAGAATCGTGGTCAGGATCAGTGCCAAAATCAGTCCGGTAGCCAGGAGACCAATACGAGAACGAAGGGGAATCGAATAGCCAATTCACAATGAGGAGGAGACCGGTGGGCCTGAAGCCCTCCAAAAGAGCAGTCCCTGCAGACGCAGCCTCTGCTCTCTGGATCAATCTCTCCCTGTCTCACAGTCCCTGCCAAGGCAGCCTCTGCTTACAGGTCGAGCACAGTCTCCCCTCACACAACCACCACCACACTGACAGAGAGAACCACACTGACAGACAGAACCCAAAGGTGGGGGCTCACAAACCCTTTATAGCAACCAAGTGGCCAATTAGGTTGCTTGCTCTGAAGAATTTTCTAGTTCTATGAAGTCATGCTCTTAGCTAAACTGAGCATGCCTCTGTTTAGATTCTGTATGACTGAGCATGCGCATGGTGGAAAAGTAGGTCACGCTTGATTGACAAGCCAACAGGTCACCCAGAGGACACATGCTGGGCACGCTGTGGAATTTTCCATATGCCTTGCCTGCTTGTCTGCGCATGATCAAACTTAACTCTCTGTGTTATCAGCATGCATTAAAAATTTTGCTCGGACAATTACCAATTCAGATGAAAGAGCATCACAACACTTCTTTTAGCACCCGCTGTTTACTTTGGAAGGTCTCCCATCCAACTACTCACAACTCTGCTCAGCTTGTGAAACCCAATGAGATTACAGGCTGAGGTGGTATGGCTGCAAATCTGTAATTTTCTTAATTCGGATTTTGCACCTCTTGAATTCCACGGTTTCTCTTTATGCTTCTTTGTTCTTTTATACCTCCCAGTTACGTGACACCAGAGGTTCAAACGTAATGCCAACAGTAGAAAAACAGCAATGCTTCAAAGAACCACAAACTAGACTCATCCCATTTCTTTCAACTCTTTGGTTTGAGAAGTTCTCACCATAAAGGCTGATGACAAACAATATTAAAGGTTCACAATCAGAAAAAAATCCCAGTAAGAACAAAAGCCCAAGCATAACACCGAATCAGTACTTTTCCATCCACTTTTTGTCTCTACTTTTTTTTTTTTTTTAATCAATATACTAGGGTATAGTTTCAAACATTTGTAAAACAAAATACTAACCTAAAATAAAGCTGCATGTTTTAGGTAAAGAGGTTATTTATTGCAGAGGCAGTTTAGGTAGGCAGCTCCGAGAGCCAAACGCAGCATGCACTGTTGGAGAGAAATCAACAGCAATGCTGTACACTCAACTCTGCATTTTAGCGTCAGGCAATTTAAAAATATAGCAAGTAAGTTCCAACCTACCTATCTGTCTCTGTGCTGGGACATGAGCTTTCAGAGTCGTCACAGTGGGGGTTGAAGTAGTGCTGGTGGAGGATGTAGTTTTGGGAGCTGATGTTGTGGGCACCTGGACTGATGGTGTCCTGGAAGCAGCTGCCTTAGCATTGGATGCTACCTTGGAGATCACAGTACTGAGAGTTGAGATATCAAGTACTGTGGGTCGCAGCCTGCCTGTGATATAAGCAGCTAGCCGATTGGCTGGATGCAAAGCCCCCATCTGTCCCAAAAGCAGTTTGGCCTGAGGGTAACTTTTACCATTAACCTGAAAAAAGTGGAAAAGGGAAATTCTGTGAAAAAAGTTGCTAAATTCACCTTTGGACAAGGTGTTTCATTCCCTGGGATCTTCAAAAGTGCTTCTGAGTGTAACCTTGTTATTCAGAATGGGAAGGGCTCATTTGCTTTCTGCTTAGGATAATTCCAAGCAATTTTTTCACATATTACCCAGACTTGAGATGTCATTCAGACTCTAGGAGATGGGACATTCACCAAAGGCCTTGGAGTCCAGGGGGGCACCAGGAGATAGAAAAGGAAGTGCCAGCTTCACTCAACATGTCATCCCTGAACTCTGGCTTTTGCTGCAGACTTCTCTATAGAGGATTTTTCAAACTTGATGGCAAGGGAAGTTTGGAATATATTCACTTTTTAAATCTGATTACTTTTGGTGGCTGTCAAGAGCCACAGAAGAAAGAATACCTGTTGTCATGCACAATGGGACAAGTCTTTTAAAGAGAGATAACCACCAATTTATTTTCATAACATTATCCCTTATCATCCGTAGTATCACCTGATACAGTTATAGGGAAGGGACCTACTGAAACTGCAAAATCCAGCACTGCTCACAAAAACAAACAAAGCAAAAAACAACTTACTGAAAATAAAATGCTGGCTCTGCAGAGGGAGCCAGCCATCCTTAGTGCCGTGGCCCTGCCACACAGCCCACCAAGAAGAGGGGCTGCTGGTGCAAAGGGGACTCCAAGATGGCGGCTGCCCCCCCTCCACTGTTGACTGGTTGCGAGGGTTGTCATGTAGCCCTCAGCCAATCAGCAATGGGGGGCGAGGCTATTGGGCCCCTCATCCAGAGGCATGGGGGCCCCCACTGCAATCAGTTTGTGAAAGAACCAGCCAGCCCTGCAAACATCAGCCAGCTGCCTCCTTGAGCTGAGAAGACCTCTAGCTATAGGTGCCATGCCATGGGAATTAGCTTGTACTCTGTATGCATAGGATTAAAAGAATGGATTATAACAACAGCTGCCTGAGAAACAGAAGGGGGGTAAAATGTCTTGAAGAAGGTTACGCTAAATGCTTGTGGTCAACGGATTCTGTCAAACTTCAATCCGCTAAGTTTTACTGATTACTTTCATACAACATCAACCTCTACATTTCCAGGATAAAGTTTGAACAAACCCTACGTAAGTTAATATTTTAAATAAATGACTGGCAATCTTGGGTGCACAACCTGAGGCACCTTAAAAGGGCACTGATCTGCAGAATAAACAGAGTACTTATCCTCTAAAAAAAAATCAGGTATCAGAGTGGGTCCCCAAACCTGAGACACCAAAGATCACTTGCTACACTTGAAAAGCTTGGCCTAAACAGCTTTCACTGATGACCAATATTTTTGGTCATCAGTGAAACTAGGTATTTTTGTCCAGTTTCTCCTTTGTCTGGTACTGTATTTTTAAGTCTCCTGAAGTTCTCACCTTCCTTTCATCCCAGCCCTGCCCTAATTAGCTTGTTCTAAAAATGTTCTCACAGCTTTTGGTATCAAATATATATATATTTATTAAGGGGCTTCTCCCCACACAACTACTTCCTACAGTTAGCAGAGGGAATACGCATCCTACAGCTAATTCATAATACTGAATTTATAATATCAGTTTCCATGGAATAGAGGGATTTCAAGTTTAGGTTTATGAAATCTTAAGATCAAATACCTGATCTGAAAGGGATGAACAGACAAACTGATAGTATGTATTAATGATAAGGCATTAAAAAAAAAGGTTAATTTCTACATAATCTCTTTTAAAAGATCTGCCCCAGTATACATCTTCCTCTAAGCTGGTTTCTCCTGTGGTCCTTGGCAGCCACCAATTAACAAGAGAACCAAGTTCATCTCTGACAAATCTTCCAGAGTGTGAGAAAGACTTTAATAAAAATTTGGCCCCCCTCCCCACAATTACTTAATCCCAAACACAACCAACAGGACTTTCTAAAACTATTATGTTTCAGATTTCCAATCACCATACCAGACTTTCTACTATTTATTGACTCTTAACTAGCAACCTCCCCCTGATACCAAGAATGCATGTGACAGATAGTCAAATTTAAAAATTTCTGTTTTTGCTCCTTGAAGGAATTCAGGAACCTCAGAGGAAATGGAATCTACTCTCCACAGTAAAGGCAGAGGGACCCACCTGAATCAAGCCTGAGGGGCTCATATTAGCTTTGCGTTTGTAGGCGACCAGCTTTCCTGCAGGAGAAAGCCCTGTATAAAAAGGCAAACCTTTGCCCCCATGCAACTTCTCTTGTTGTTTGTCCAAGGTGTCTGCCTGCAAGAACTTTAGATTCTCTGTTTTTTTGCATGATGACACTTCACTATCAGGAGTCTCCAAGACAGGTGTCTCGGGCATCTCTCCCTTGTCCTGGTAGGATGGCATTGAGATTTTCACTCTGGAGGAGTAGCTGGGAGGACTCTTCTCATCCTGGGGTTTGTGTTCTGAAGCCAACTCAATAATGAAGCTACCCACTTTGATTGACTGTGGCATGTTATTGTTGATATGCTGTGATAGGATGCTCAATATCTTATTGCGATCCTCCTCCCAGTTGCAGTCAGAGATAATCTCGATAAGTTTGGTTGGCCCACCTGGAGTGGTTTGATGAACATAGGAGGTGGAGGAGGATTCCCCCTCACTACAGGAAGACCACCAGCTTTTCTCTGAGAAAGAATTGAAACAGGTTTCTGCAATACTATGGCATTTTATCACCAGGACATTCAACATAGTTTTATTCTCCCCACCTCCACCCTTGTGTTAGCAGCAGGGAAACTGAAGTCAAATCACCGCTCAGAGCACCACTCCCTCCCTGCAGTGATACAAAAAACCCAAACCCCAAACAAACAGTACAGACACACCTTCAGTACAAAACTAACAATGACAAAGTTCTTATGGTTTATCCCTTGCAGCCATACCACCTTTTATTACAATCCCATCATGTTCCACAACAAAGCTGGGTTGCTTCAGTACGACATGGATGCAAGACCTCCAGGCAAACACCAACATGCAGCAGGAAGTGGTGATTCAACAGGTAGCACTTTTCCCTTATAGTCAAAAAAGAACTTATGTCCCATAATGGCTTTAGGGGGCAAAGTACTGCTAATGGTGCTGGCTTCAGCAGTCTTTAATCTTCTGTTGTCATTAGAGATCCAGTGGCACTCTTTGCAAACTTTATGGATGTTGAGCCCCGTGTCCTGGCCGAGTTTTAATTCTGGTAATTATTTCTGGCCTATCCAATCTCAACATAATTTTCAACCGGATATATTATTTTTCACATGCCATCCTTAAATGTAGATTAATGCTGTAAAAAGATGCCACATTTCACTTCAAAGGTAGCTCTATTTTCATGGTAAATGACACGGTCCCTCTAGTTCATTGCACCCTTTGGGACACTTTGGGTTGAATGATAACACATGAATACAATATACTATACCAGGTATCTATTTAATCTAATTCTTTATGAACTTAAAAAACCAAAATGCAATAAATACAGTACACCAAGAAAGCTTAGTTTATTATTTAACCTTTCAATCTGAACTAAGAGGTTGCTGTGAAATAGCTCCAAATATGCAGATACAGGTTACCCATAACTGTAGTTGGAGTATTGTAAGGGATCTCACCAGCCTGACAGTATAACTTGGGTATCTGGGAATGTAATTTAAAAAACCCTACATGCGTCCCATTGTCACTGCTGCACAACAGATGTGTGTTCAAAAAAGTCTTAGGATGCTAAGCATGCTGCTATAATAAACTGCCATTTTAATTTTAGAGCAGCACTCTGTCTGAAGTAGATACTTAACCTGTTTCGTTTTCCATGATACATGTCATGCTGCTTGGCAAGTCAGAAGACAGCAAACACAGTATAAGATGATTTTATTAAGAGCTGAAGTGTTGAACATTACAGCTGAAGTACCCTGGCATCCCTTGTAAATGTACCATACCAGATAAAGTGGATTTCAGATGGCCTTAGAAAAGTTCTAGGCATATCACCGCCTTTGACTCACCCTGCAAAGCAGCCTTCTGTTTCATCAATATCTACAAGGGTTTTTTAAACCAGAATTGTATATGCAACAGATGGTTAAAACTCAAGACTTGAATCTTACCTTCTGACTTATCAGTATCTTTCTCCATTTCACAAGTTTCTCTTTTAGGAGACTGATGCTCAGAATCATTTCCTAAGCTTTCCTAGGAGTTGGGGTGGGAGGAAGGAAAATTCAGATTTTAAAATTAGATATTTTCTTCATCATTAACAATATGTTTCTTCATCATTAACATAAATTTAGTTTCCAACATTTCAGTTCTAATCTCAGGATGACTCTATTAATGGATATTTAAAGCATAACGTAATTTCACATCTGGCTGCAGGAAGACAGAAAAATTCTTACTGGTACTTCAGAAACAAAAATTCAAAAAATATTTAAGTGACTTAGGAATGCAAGTGCTACCTATACAAATAAGTTGGGTCTCTGAGACCACACATACTTTAGAAAAACATTATCCTACATGTTAACATGAAATGAGGAGGCAGGGTTTTTTGTGGACACCAACCTTTATGCTACAGTTCTTCAAATTACTGATATTCTGGTTCTTCTGTTGTTTTTTCTCCTCCACCTTGTGTTCATATGCTCGGACCCGAGCACAAGTCATCATACTCTCAAAGTACAAGTAGACAGGATCCTTGTCCTCCTCTCGAATCTACAAGCCAAACAGAAGGGAACCACTTCATTTAAGACAAACATCAGAGCTGCAAAACTGCACATTCTAAGAGTACTCTCCTCAACTTCCATGTCTCACTGAAAATGGCAAAGAGAGCTCCTCCTTTTAAAAGCCAACTTTCCTTCCTAGTACCATACCACAGCTTAAGTTTTGCTTCTGAATTAGGTTTTCATCTGAATGAAAAATGTAAATGCCATTAGTTATTCAGCTTGGCCAAGTAAGTGATGCAAAGCATTCTGCTTTAATAAAACCTGCTGAATTCTGATCACAGCTGAAAAAGCTTGTCACCCTGTGTATCTGTAGAATGTTTAACTTTTCTCCATTTCATAGTTAAAAACCACAAAACAGGCTTTTCTGACCACTAAAAAGCAAGTTTTTTTTCTGACAGGCTAGGAAAAAAACAACCCCAAAACCCCAAATTAAAAGTTACATCCTAGTCTGGCAAGTCATTAATTAAATGAACTACATTAAGTAGCTAGCAAATGGCTTCGATATTTATGTGACCAGCATTCTTTTTATTTTACAAAATGTGATTTTATACACAAGGTTTAAAATGAAAAAACAAACACATGCAGCCCTTTCCATCTACCTTTCCACTGCTGAATTAGTCTCAATGCTGAACTGAACCAGCACAGAACTACCAATTTTAGAACTGAAAAAACTGGTTTAAATAACCTCACCATATGAAAATTGTGTGTGCAAAAGCATCTCTTTATGGACCTAAATATCATATGATCCATTTCAAATACCAAGTATTGCTGTTTGCAGTTTTTTGAGAAGAGATGGTTTATTCCATTTATAAAGAAAGAAAAGTTTTGCTCATTTACTTTGAAGGTAGAAAGTTTTCCTTTCTTACCACTGGGTTGGGTTTGGGAGTGTACACTCGTCCTGGTTTGACCGTACTGGAAGATCTGCTTCGACTGCAGGGCAAAACTTCTGGGTTAGGCAGCACCATAGGTTTTGCTGGTTCAATGACAGATGGTGTTGGGATGTAAATAGGTTCTGGATCTACCTCACCTTCAACTTTTACCCACAGTGGGCAGTTCCTAACAGGCTGCTCTGGTTCTGTATCACAAATAGCTGAACAAAGAAAGAAAACGTGTTTGAAAAACAGCACGTTTTTACATGAGGAGTCTAATTCAATTTTACAGCTATGAGTTCACACTGGTTGTTTTTCAGAGTTCACTCTTGCCTAGCTAGAGTGACTGTGGCTTGTCCACACCAAGTAGAAGGACAAAAGTAAGAGTTATGTTCAACTACATCTTTATTTACCAAACGGCAAAAGCAGGAGACTGCTATCACTATCTAAAAGGTGAAACAAAGTAAAAACATGACAGAAAAAAATAAAGTTCTACACATTGTATAATTTTCCTTGGTGCTGTGTAACACAACTTAGATGTCTAAGACTTTATTACATTTCTTTGAAGCTGGAGAATCAAAAGTGTTCCATAAACTAAGCTAAGTGGGACATTACACAACACTGCCATCAAGTTTTAAGAGCAAGAACAAAATTAAGTCGCATCACTTTCATGCCATTTTTTAGTGTTTAAGGAACAGCCGATTACTTGATCTATCTTATTGAGTATACCTTAGGGGCCAGATCATCAGCTAGTGTAAATACCAGCACAGAACTACTGATTTGAATGGAACGACACAAATCTAAATCAGTTGAAAATATGGCTGCCGATGTTCAATTATTCAGGCGAAGGATGCAGGAATATGGAACAAAGTAAACAGGCAGCAAGTAAGTAGTGATTTCAGTAGTGACCAATCAGTATGTCATGACCTCACAACTTGGGTCTTTCAACAGGTAAAGCACGCAAGTGAATGACTTTCTTCAAGTGCTTTGAATAATGCCTTGCTCTATTACATTTCAAACGGACAAAAAAGCCAACAAAAAATTGACCATAAATAAAAGACCAACAGATTTCTAAGATCAACATAGTCAAAAGTAGAACTTATTTCTGGTTGGTATCAAGGTAGGTGAAAGTTGCATAAGGCTACTGAAACTCACTGTAGTATTTGTACTCATCAATCCATTTAATACTAATACAGAATAAAAATCCCCTGCAAACATGCACAGAGTTGGTACAACTTTAAGCAATCACTCTTTCCCTAGTAATACTCACTGTATTCCACTTTCTTTCTCTTCTTCCTGTCTTTCTGTTTCAGCTCATCTTCCCCATCACGCTCCCCTTCCACCTCTTCTTCTTCTTGATGCTCTTCCCCTGGTGTTCCATAGAAGACAAGGCTTCCACGCACAGCCCTCTTCAAGATTCTCTTGTGCCTGGAACCACCTTTTATCAGCAACACTTTTCTTTTCAAACATATGCAGCCAAACATGCAGTCTGGCCTGCGGCAATGGGTAGGCTGTCGCTTCTCCAGGGCAAGACTAGCACAGATGCAACCCAGACGGCAGAAATCATTGTTGCAAGGAGGTGCTCGCCTTCTGATTATTTTGTGGATAGGTTTATTTTTAAGAGAAGCCTAAAGATTAAAAATAGATTTGAAATGTTAATGAGACAAACATATGCAGCACACCAAATCTGCTTACATAAAATTTATTTAGACAGGTCATACAACCACATGATAGAATGTTTGCAGTTTATATAGAATGACAGGACAGAGAATAGCTGCACTAAAAGTCTGTTGACAGTATCCGATACTATGTGCAAGACACAAGATGCAGAATAACTCAAGTTCATACTTAATGGTATATCAAGGAAATGACAAGATCAGGGCTTATTTTCACTTGACTGAACTAAAGCAAAACTCATCATTCATTCAACCAAAGCAGAAAAGTTGACTTCAACCACATTGAAGAGGACATATTATAACAGCATCATGGATACACATCCAATGCCATTATGGGCTCTGTACCTCCAAGGACCGCTAAAATATTATAATAATCTATTACAGGTTAGAATTTCCTTCAGCAGACATAAGGGTACATTAGAAAACCCTGATTTAAAAAAAAAAAAATTGTATGTATACCTGACACTTTCCAATGTAACTATTAAAATAATATTATTTTAGTTTAAATTAATTAAAACAATTTCTAATTTTAAGTATAGGTCTCATTTTAATCATACCCCACAGGATTAGGCCAAGAGGAGAATCTGAAAGTCACTGTAGGGTGTACCAAGACCTGTAAGCTTTCCCTGTGAATCCTTTTTTCCTGAAGTGGCAAACTTTTTCTATACAGTCTGAATGAGTGAATTTAAAATCAAAGTCTCAAATTACACTGCCTCCAAAGACAAAATGAGAATATTCTCTAAGAGGCCAAGAAAAGTTGAACTAAAGAACGTAAGTGCTACAAAAAAGCTACTGCTTACCCAGGAAGTTATTAGCACCAAAACCTTACTGTTTAACTTTAAGCATCAGGGGACAGAACAAGCTAGTATAATGGAAGTAATGGAAAGAATGAGACCAGCTTACCTGAGCAGTGAGCAGAGTCGCCAGAGATATGTCCGCTCGTTCTTCTGTGATATAGGTCCGCGGTTTTCCATCCCAAAGTGCACAGTCCTCCAAGTCCATCAGCTTCACTTGAGATTTGGACAAACCTGGTAGACGAGCAGCCTGCTGCTGCTGTGCCTGACGCAGACTAATCTGCTTTGGCAACATGTTTTCATCTAGAGCTGGCACCATAAAATTATCTCCTTGATTAGCAGCACTGCTACTTGCTGCAGACTTAGTGACTCGCTCCCCTGACCCTGAAAAGCCATGTTTCTGCTTCACAACAACAGGTGAAGGCAGTATAGGTTTGTAAGATGGTTTTGAGCGGCTGTTTGAAGCAGCCTGTTTATTCTGAGTCTTTGTCCTCCTAGAGGTAGAAGACACTGATAAAGGCTTGAAAGTGTAAGATGTTGATGGAGTTATGTTAGATTGCTTCTTTAGAACACTGTCCAGAGTTCGTACATAGCTAGTGCTCTTTGTTGGAAGCTGATAAACCACAGGAGAGGTGGGAGCACTAGGAGAGAATCCCAGGCTTGTTTCCATCAGCTTCCCTTCGTTTTCCAGGTATTCATCCAGTTTGTCACTATAAAACGCAGAGCGGTTCTTCAAAGAGCCCTCTGAGCTACTACCTGTATTAATACAGCATTCAAATACATATGAAATAATTCCAAAGAAAGTAAATCACCAATTTGCCTAATAAATAAAGTAGATTAGGCTGCTAACAGATATTAAAGGCACAATCGGATCTGACATGCAATCCCAACAAATCGAATCTCTTACCTTGCCACACACGCACAGCAGGAAACATGACTGTGGGATCAAGGATCAGATCTCAACCAGGTCACACTGCCAGTGAAGATGGACCCCAGAGTCATGATCCCAGGACCATCCCTGCACTAGCAAGTAGTAAGCTTGGCTCCCATGCGTTTCTCCAGCTTAGAGCACAGTGTGATTGGGGCTCCCAACCAAGGAAACGCATAGAAACCCTCCTGAAGTTAGGAGCACTGACCATACATTCAAATTTAAGGCATGATGGGAACCAGCCACAAAATTATTACACACATTTTGTGTAATAACTTGGTGGCTTAATCCCAGTTTTATCACACCATTAACTGAATGACTGTGTTAACCAGCCAACCACATTTTAAGCATAAAATCTGCCTGGGGCCTCAGGGTCATATTCCTTTATTCCTGTTCTAAAATGTATATACAACCTTAGGGTATGAAATGGATAATCATAGTCTAACATGCGTAAGAAATAAGGCCTAATGAGTCCTGCAATGCAGCTAGCAATCAGTGGACTCTTTGATATGAATGTGTGTGGTTTTTGGAAGCTTCAGACCTTGGCATATAAAATGTTACATCGCACCCTGAGAAGATAGCTAAGACAAGCTATCTGGAGTACCACACACTGATATGCAGTCTCCCCAAGCTACACATTTACACTGAAGATGATGGGTGGTAGTTCCAATCCATTATAAATTGATACAAATTCAGTGGTTTCTAGCAGGTTTCCAAATATGATCACTTGTCAGCAAAACTGTCAGGGTTCCCAGTTTATGAAGTCTCTCTCAACTAAGGTTGTAAAAGAACAATCCAGAAAAGAATTGCAGATTGCTCCTTCAAAGTATAACCTGAGGTATTATTCAGGCTTCCTCTCTTTCAGGCTATTTATTCAGAACTTAAAACTGATCAACAACAAGCCTATCATACTATTGGTTTTAGCCTGCCTCAATCATTCACATAAAAAATTATATACTTTTTTATCCTATCCCCAAGTGATTTACTCTACATTGGAAAGCTAATTCTCCAGTCAGACCACAGCAGTATGATCCAAATGTGTTATGGATGTACCAGTGATATCGCTACAAAATAGTGAATTCTCTGAACACAACAGTTTCTTTTCCAAAAATTTCCACTAAAAATTAAGATAAATCAGTTAAAATACAAATTCTTTGATTAGGACACAAAAAGAGTCATGATTACTACAGATCTACAAACTAATCTATTCCTTACCTTCATTTCTAGAAGCACCATGAAACTTCCCTCGCCAACCCTTGATCTTGGTGAAATCATTTGTCTTCCCTGTCCTGGAAACAAAGGGAAACGCACCATCTGGAAAAGAAAGCCAACCACAACTTACAGAAGTCAAAGAAGTCATAGAGAAGTAGGGCTGGAAGGGACTTCAGAACTCATTTAGTTCAACCTCCTGCGTGAGGCAGGATCATCCCTATCCCAGTCATGCCATACAACCATAATTTAAACTACATAAGACTATCCTCAACCCTGACACAACATAGACCTAACATCCTAACCAGCTGCATATAAAAGCAGTGGAACCATAGCAACTGATGTCCTGCTTTTATAAAATGTTGCCAATATCCACCAGGCTTGAAAAGGAGGGAACTTTTCTTGAAAAGTTACTTACTTGCAATGACAGATCTTCAAATATAAAGAATGCTGGATTCTGCATATTCATACTTGTGGGATGTGTACCTGGGGTTGAAGCTTTGGAACCTTAAATTAGCAGTTTTAATTTATGTCCCTCTTACGATTAAAAACAAGAACCTTGCCCCAACTAATAACTGACATCCACCCTGATTTTAAAATCTTTACCATAGATATACAGTTCCCCTCCATCATTTCAACTCTCAATAATACAATTTAAAAATCATACATTACCCACCTGGAGAACTTGGATTGGCTCCTGGGTAGTTCCACAAAGAATAATTTGAATAGGAGAGTGGCAGCTGCACACCCAAGTATTTTAGGTCAATGCTCAGTGTTGGGTCCACAGAGTTCAACTTCAGTCCCACTGCATGAAACAAACAGCAGTGAAAAAAATATCTATACAGCCACCTAAACCAGGTGTTAGTTCAAGTTAAGAAATTTAAGAGATTCATTGCCTTTAAGTAATAAAAAAGTTGCAGGTTTGAATAGCCCACATTCATTCCAGGTTTTACCAGATTTAGAAATAGAAGAGACAGGACCAGGAACACACGCATAGTTTGTGCTGCAGGTGGTGGCTGTGGTGCAACAGCACCTGCCAGATCACTGGCTCTGGCTTGACAGCAGCCATTATTTTTGTATACCACTCTCCCCCTTTTTTCCCCTGCATCCAGGGAGGCATTCAGGGTTGGTGCCCTGCTCAACCCCCTTAGTTATACCACTGCTCAGGGGTGTCAGGTTTCCCAGACTTCAACTCATTTACAGTCTGGATGCTACATATCCAAAAGCATGCTACACTATTAAAAAGTAAACTGTTTAGGATTAAACAAAAAGAGAAACAGATGGAAGCAACTTCTATTAGCTGTGCCCAACAGAACTTAAAAGTTCCCAAGGCACTTAAAAAGACAAAAGAATTAGCATCTCTTTTTCTGGCCAACATTCCTCATCTTAAAAACTGACAGGTGCCAATAACCAAGGGTGCATGTAAGATTATTAGTAATTTTCCTGCTGGACAGTATAGTGTTCCAAGATACACTGCTATGCACCACCGCACGCTTGTGTAAACAGTTGACAGCAGGAGGTATATATATGCATACATTCTAATGCACTTTTTATGAGAAGTACTGTAAAAATGTAAGACAATTTGTTATTATGGCTAATACATTTACAGTCACTGCACTATCAGTGTCTTACTGCTGGTTTGCTCATTCCATGGTAAAGCATTATGGATACCTCCAATATGAGAAACACATGTTAATTTTATTTTTGTAGTAGTTAAACAGCAAAAGAAATTTAAAGGAGTTAATTATACAGAGGAACAAAACAAGTTGCTGGCAAAGAGGAATTTCTAGTCTCTGCTGCCTTTCCACTTCCCCATGTGCTCTTCCTCCAAGAATCTTGCCTTACCAGACATAATGTTGGGCAATAAAATAAAAAGTATTCCATATACTTTCACTGAACTGTAAACAAATGAAATCAACTTGGGGGCGTGGAGGGGAGAAATATGTACAGGCAGAATGTAGGGCAGGCTAGCACCTTAGAAACTAACTAGCTCATAGGCATGAGCTTCTGTAGGAGGCAGCCTTTGTCAGATGCTTCTGCCCAACTTCAAGCTAAAATAGCTAAATACCTCTCATGACTTATGAGGTGTACCCTGGAATAGTTCTAGATTTAGATAACAAAAGTGACCTGACATTTGTGCATGACACTTTATATTGGAATATATGCATATTAAATTGTACTGTGGATTTTTTCTTGTGAGAAGTTCCAAATTAAACAAGCAAAGAACTATCATCTCAGTCCAGAAGAGCATGCAATATCATGTCAAAATTAAAAAATATATAATATCTCTCTCTATATACAAAACTACAGAGAACAACATGTATAAAATAAAACCCACTTCACAAGAGAACAGAGCTCCCTTCGGATGAGCAAACAAAGGAAACATCTTTCTTAGAAAGTCTTTACTGTATGGTGCACTATTCATGTGCTTCCAAGTTTAAGCCTGAAAATCTGTATGCATTTTAGAAATTAAAGTGTTACAAAGACTAAAGCTATGCCCCTACAAAGTGGCCTCTGAGAAACCGCAGTCAGTGTTGACCCACTGTAGATGAGCATGTGCTTCATGCACATAGGATGGAACACCTGAACAGAAGTTTTTCAGGGCCACACACATGCCTCTACTTCTCATGTTTCTAGGCAAACCTAAAATAGCTGTGACCATCTCTCAATTCCCTCACAGTCAGAAACCTACAACAGCTACAGACTCCAAAAAAGGTAGAATAAAGTGCAATTACAAAGACCTATGTTGATAGCTCAAAAAAAAAAAAAAATCAAGCAAACTTTCCTCAAGCAGAAGGCAGGGTAGTATTGCACCTTACTAACTGAAACCTATCTTCAAGTTTTTTTCAAATGTGCACCTCACCGCAGATGACTGGCAAGAAATGTTCAGTATGGCAAGGAATGAAGGAGTTCCAGCTGCATTAGTTCAACATTAATTGAAGCAGCACTTTTCTGGATTCAGCAGTGGACCTAGCAATACTAAACACTGCATAAAGGTCAATGGGGTTAATTCACTTTGCTGTGCCGCAGTTTCCAACATGGACACATTCCAGGTAGCGAATGTTAGGCTTGCTCTGGTGCACTGTGGTTTAATACTGAATAGTTCAGGTACACCAACAAACTAGCTAACGTGGGGAGATATCCTAAAAATGGAAAACACAATGTATGGACATACAAACTAATTTACTGCAGGGTAAAAAGGGGAGAAGGGCTTTACCACACAGCAGCTGCTCTACAGTAACTACCTATGTGTATGTACTTACCCTGTGGGAAGTGGAAACAACTATGCTATCTTGGCACTCAACCAAAAAGGAGTAATCTCTCACAGGCTACATCTCCAGTTACCAAAGGATGAAAACATATATTGACAGTTGCTTTGGAACAGCTGATGCATAACAAAGGCCCACCCCACTTTCATCCTTTGGAAAGCTGCTTGTATGTCTACATCCTCAATATTCTCTATAAAGATGCATCTTAACCTAACGGCATAGCTAGAAACAGATGAAGAGTTTTCGTAAGTTCCTATCAATGTAATAAAGCTTACTTCTGAATAACTGATTCATGCAACTCCCCTTCTCCGGGTGTGGGACATAGTTTCAGGATAATGACTAGTAGATTTTAGATTAGATGAAGTTTTGAGATGAACATTTGAGGATGTAATTTTGGTGACGGCTTAAAGCTGCTTTGTTCTTATGGACCATTACATAGCAAGATTCAAACCAAATGCTTGAGAACTCCCTTACTCCTTGGAGCAGAGTACTAGCTACTGGAAAGACTTCTTTCCAGAGTTAGGTGAGGTAGGGAACATTCCAAAAAATGGTCAAAGGGATAAAAATCCAAGACTCTAAAAAGGACCATGCTGAGGTCTTAGGTATGCAAAAACCCTTTGATGATATTTAATGTCAGCAGAGGGGAGAGGTGGGGAAAGGAGAGAGAGAAGAACTGATTGTGACTGTATGAGTAGACAGGAAACTAACATTAGTTTAAGATAGACCTTCACAGAACTGAATGAAAGATCAATCTGTTTCAAGTACAACAGGAAGTTGAGAATTTCAATAGTAAGCTCTTCACCAAGGCTAGGTAAGTACTGAACTTTCCATATTGTGAACCCCTTTCCATTTAAATAAATAAATCCTCCTACTCTTTAACAGCATTTTTTGGCTTTTGGGAAGAGCTGGCCCTTTGGGGCTTTACAGAGACTTACTTCCTACCACTGTCAATCCCAGGGATTCCCCCATTTAAGATATATCAACTCTACAATGGACTCCACAGGCATTCCAACAGTGATAGCATATTGACAGTCTTGCTGCCCTAATAAGTTATTGCAGACTCATGGGAGGAGGAGAAGTGGCTGCAGCAATTGGCAGTTGCGGGACTGGCCATGGGGGGATCCCCCCCGGTTGACAGGATTGGTTGGCAGGACTGGTTGCTG